CCCCAACCGGGATCTTACCAGAACTGTCCAAAAGGCAATAACATCCCCGTATTAAGATAGGACAAGGGAGAGCCAAAGGACAGAATCATAACAATTCCACGTACCGCTTCTGTGACCCCCAACACAGATGAAGGAAAATCGTGGGAGGAAGATAGACAACCCAAAACATGTGTGAGGACTTATGTTGATTTGTTCACTCTAAATCCAAAACCCAGCAGCAGGGTACTGATCCATGCATGGGTAGAATGAGGGCTCCCAATCAAAGGTGTGAACTGCATTTTGACATATCACTCCTTTGTAATTGTATATCGCAAAGAGGAGGACAGTATGTCATCTACAACCCCAGAACACCACCACCCTACTCTGCACTGAATGGTTATAGCCATCTTTGTGTGGAACCCATTCAGGAGGGATTGGAACTGGAAAGTGGTAAGGACTCTCATACTCCACTAGAAGAAAGGAGGGTGAAAAGGCGGTGGAGAGTACAGAGGAATGTCATCACTTAAGACAGTGGAATGGGTGTCCATGAAACCCTATTTTGAAAAGCAGACCATACCGAGCTATTCACTACAGGCATGGCATGGATGGGCAGCTATACTCTTCTGCTTTACCCATGTAATCCATGGGTGGTATGGTCCGAGACGTGCATATTTATAAAGCAAAATATTGCAAGGTTCTTCACCTACAAGCAATCTTGTGGAACACCCCATCACAATGGTGAGCATTGCGAAGCCATGGAATATAAAGTGCGAGTCAACATGGCTGTACAGTGGTGAGGATTTCAACTTAAAATATACCTGGTCAGACACCTCTCGCCACAGAGTGGGATCCATATAATGAGGAATGAAGGAAAGGCCCCAGAAAAGAAAAGATGAATACAATCTTACCAGTCAGAGTCACACTGAAGTCTGTAGAACAGTCACAGGTGGAAGACGAAAACCCAACAAAGAAGAAACCATGATATGATGTAGAAAATGATTGCAGAATTTCCTCCAATGGACAACAAAGACAAGAAGAGAGGGAAAAAGTGAGGTGTCTGATCTGATGAGAAGACACCCGGAACAAATTCCAGGAGGAAGAAGGCAAGGAGAAATAAGCCAATTGAAACAAAAGTTGGAATAAATTAGTATGGGTTGAAGGTGAAAGATCACAAAGGAAGGAAGACTGCCAGGGGATAAAGAGTCGAGAATGAGTACCACAGAAAGAACCGTATGGGCAATACAACAATGAAGAGCACTGATGGGACATAGAAGCCTATCTGGATCCAATCAAGGGTAAAGATGAGAAATAGAAGGAAGTGTAATAGGTGAAAAGGAGGAGCTACCCTCCTGAGCCACTAAGGGAGGAAGGAATGATCAAGATAGAGGAGAAGACAGGTAGGGTGATAAAGTAAGTGAAATGTCAATGGCAAAGAAATCCGAACATCGACTTCAACAGGCTAAGAGTAGAAGGAATATGTTTAAAGGGAAAGGTGAAACATGGAACACAAGGAAAGTGGTTCAAACAGAGGTAAAGTGAAGGAATGGAGTATCACATTAACATCCCAATCCTGAAGGGTAGGTCACCTGGGAGGGCATTGCAACTGGAAGGGATACAGTAGCATGGTAAGGACAGGTGAAGTAAAAACTCTGCAGTATCGGGAAAAATGAAAGGTATGGGTTCAAACCACCCGATAACCCGAGAGTGAGGGCTCCCAGTCAAATAGCCAAGTGAGGATCCCATGCAAGGTTCCACTATCATAAAGAGCCCACTGAAGGGATCTCATGTGAGCATAACCAAGAGGGACCAGTGATGTCATTGAAGACCCTATCCCCAAAGGAGATAGAACCTTGTGAGCAGTAAGTGATGGAACCGAGAGGGCATGATGAACTAACAATTCCATAGTGAAGTCTTAAAGAAGAAGGCTGCACCCAACTGATACGAGTGTCAAAAAAGACACCCAAATGGATAATATATTGAGTAGGTATGAAGAAGGACTTCTCCAGTTTGATTAACCAGCCCACTTCGGTTCAGAATGAACCAGAAGAAGCCAGTCATCCATGTAATAGTGAAAACTCTACCCCAGAACATGAATATGTGAAGCAAATTCTCAGACTACCCAACAGAAAACATAAAGGGCCAAAGCAAGCCCAAATGGTAGGGCTGAAATTGATAAACCACCCCCAAGATGGACAAACCGAGGTGATATAGGTATATGGAGATAAGCATTAGCGACATCCATTTTGGTCCATGGTAAACTGGAGCAGGTGAACGAATTGGTTGAGGCAAGATAAATCTATGATCAGCCTCTAGTCCACAGGTTTCTTGGGAACAACAAAATGTTGGAAAAACCTGTTGAAGGATGGAGAACAGATTTGATAGCCTGCTGAAATAGCAATTCCCAAACTGCTTCCAACAGACACTGACTGTTTATGGGATCCCGAGGAAGAAGGAAGGAAGGAAGGAAGGAAATGAGATATGGGAGGTGGGGAAAGAAAGGGGATCACAAATCATTCTGATAAAACCTGAAGAACCCATTAATCCTCAAGGAAGGAACACCAGCAATGAAGAAAATTAGCAAGCCTAGCTCCCATCAGACAACAACCCACTGGGTAGTCACCAGTGCTGTTGGCAAATGTGAAGTGCGTCGTCAAAAAAACAACGAGAAGAGGCACCCAGAGAAGAAGGGACAGATAAAGGTTGAGAATGGGATAGACAGGAAATGGTAATAGGTGGCATATGGGGCTCCAATTGAGACAAACGTGCAAGAATATTGGTAAGGGTAAATTTTTGTTGGATCGATACCACCCGTGGCTCTAGTGTTTCCAGGATCATATCAAAAACATATCACCACAGAAATGATGCCCATACATAAATCCCGAAGATAAGTTGATGGTAAATGGACCCAAGCAAAAATTGCATCACGATTTAGAAGGTCCCAACAACAGAGAAATCATGTATGAAAAGCCAGAGCCAAAGATGACAAATGAGCTAGTGTGGAGGAAAGAAGGGATAGGGTATCCCCAGAAAACTGCTCAGGATTTCTGTGGAAAAACTCTGAGAGGAGGTGTAGAGAAGATACCATAAAAAGAATTGTAAGGTTAAAATGCAGATGAGAATACTGGACATGGGTCAGACTGGCAGATGATTCGGGATGACAGGCCTCCAGTCCCTGTCTTTTGGGAATAACAAACAGATGGGAGTAAAACCCTGGTGAATGATGTGAAACAGGTTCAGTAGCCTCGTGATTGAGGAAGTCCTGTATCACCTCTGATAGACACTGGCAAGTTATGGAAGGAAACAGGTACCTGGGACAAGGGAGGTGAGGCAAAAAATGGAATTTTGAGGCCTACTGACAAAACCTGAAGAACCCAAACATCATTGATGAAAGGACGCCAATGATGAATGAAGGCCGCAAGTCGAGCTCCCATCAGGCCCGAACCCTACTGGTAGTCACCTGAACTGTTGGCAGAATATTGTGCGTCGTCAAGAAAAATGATGTGCTGTGGCACCATGATAAGGAGGGAAAGGTAAGAGTTGAGAAGGACAGGAAACCAAAATAGGTGCTACACTTGGCTCCAACTGAGATAAACAGGCTACCAGATGGGAAAGGGTAGATTGTTGCTGGACAGATGCCACCCGAGACTCCAAGGATCATATCATGTCTTAAAAATGGAGCCTTACGCAAATCCCTGAGATAAGGAGCAGGTAAACGGGTTCTAGATAAAATAGCATCATGACATAAATGGTCCCACCAACAGAAAAACCACGTTTGTAAAGCCAGAGCGAAAGATGACAAACAAGCTAACGTGGAGGTAAGGAAAGCGAGGATGTCCCCAGGAAATCCCTCAGGATTTCTGTGAAGAGCATCAGACAGAAAATGGATTGTGCAGAGGTACCACAAAAGAGTCATAAGGGTAAGATGGAGGCGTGAAAATTGTGCATGGGTGAGACTAATGAAAGATTCGAGGCCCGCCCCCAAAATGGGTAAAACCAAATCCAATAGTTATTGGTTGAGATATGAATAGTCAGCCCTATGATATTCGAGTGCAGAATGATTCAAAGCCCGTAGGGACGAGGCATACTAATGCCATTGCCCAACTGAGAGGCAAATTGTGCAGCATGAACCCAAATGTCGGGGGTGGGGTGGGAAAACCAAATAGGTTGGGAAGTATATTTCTGCAGTAATAAAGGATGTGGGTCATGAGATATAGAAGCAATGGATACAACATCACATACCTGAGAAATAAAGTCCAAAAAAAAAAAACGTGAAAAGATGAACAGAATCCTCAGGAAGGGTATGGGAAGGCATGGCAAATTCAGGAGATGGAAACAGGTGATCAAAGTCCTCGTCAGTCTCCCCAGGTTCTACAGGTTCAGGAGGAAGTGGGGCAATGTCTGGAGATAGAGGTCGACTCATATAACATTCAATCTCCTTGCGAATAAATGTAGAAAAATCTCCTGACGGGTCACCAGCACCTGAAGCCTGTAGTAAGGCACTTGTTGAATGTGAGACAAACCAAGTGGTAACATTAACTTTGGAATTCATGTTGTATCAGTTGACAAAAGCATTTGAAGGAAGGAAGAAATATTTGCGACTAGAAAAAGGGTAATTGAACCTAAATGCTTAAAAAACAACAATCAAAAATGTAAAATTAAACCACATCAAGAACTAATTCACTCTCAAACACTAATCAAGTTGAAAAAAGAAAAGATGTACAAGTGCAAGCACCACCAAACAAGAAGTGATAGTTTGGTAGAGATGCATAGATGGAGTCACCTGCATCACATTGAGTGTATTATGATTCTATTGGTGGATGGGTGATGCATGATGATTTGGATGAGACATGATAGAATCATTTGATTCCAATAGGGGTGTGTGGAATGCTTGTGGCATGCATAATAAAAAGTTTGCATATAGAGGGCAGCAATGAACGATAATAGCTAATCTTGTGAAGCATATCTATATGAATAAATTATGAAAACGAAAAGCATTAGTTTTAAAAAATCAAAATACTCACCTCTCTGAATATCTTTCTGCTGGTTAAAAGTTTCTTTTCTATATTCCCTTACAACCAAATCGTTCAATAACCGTTCTTCTCGAGCAAAGAAAAATTTACTACATTTCAGCAACAACTCTTCAAAATTGCTGATGGATGTACAACAGGCTTCCACTTTTGGTTTTAAAGAACCCAATACCTAAAAATACAAGTTCCTACTCAGCTGCATCTTACACCCATTACATGTATTGTTTTAGAATAATGAACATTACACAAGATAATTAGTTTTAATGGACTTCCAACATAATATCAGGTATAAAAAAACAATAGTTAATCTACATATATATTCTTGAAAAAAAAACTAATACAAAACTAACAAATAAAACAAAAAGTGGAAAAGAAGCAAAAAAAACAGAGCAGTTGAATTACATAGAAAGACCTAAATTATATACAGGTTGGTTACAAACCTACATTACATACAGGTTGATTACAAGACCTACATTACATACAGGTTGGCTACAAGACCTACATTACATACAGGTTGGTTACAAGACCTACATTACATACAGGTTGGTTACAAGACCTACATTACATACAGGTTGGCTACAAGACCTACATTACATACAGGTTGGTTACAAGACCTACATTACATACAGGTTGGTTACAAGACCTACACTGCATACAGGTTGGTTACAAGACCTACACTGCATACAGGTTGGTTACAAGACCAATATTACATAGAGGTTGGTTACAAGACCAATATTACATAGAGGTTGGTTACAAGACCGATATTACATAGAGGTTGGTTACAAGACCAATATTACATAGAGGTTGGTTACAAGACCGATATTACATAGAGGTTGGTTACAAGACTGATTTTACATAGAGGTTGGTTACAAGACCAATATTACACAGAGGTTGGTTACAAGACCGATATTACATAGAGGTTGGTTACAAGACTGATATTACATAGAGGTTGGTTACAAGACCTTTAACCAAACTATCTGCCATTGGATTTTCTTCCACATCATGTTCACTAAATACACTAGGAGAATATATGAAACTCTATCTTTTACTGGGTTTTCAACTCATGTTATGTTCACTAAATCCACTAGGAGAATACATGAAACCCCCAATCTTACACTGTACATATTTGTTAGTTTAGATAATTTATGACTGCCAACAATGCATGCAAGAATAATCTATTCTGGAAAGTGTCAATGCTTTAAAGCTGAAGATAACATAAGAGTGCAGTAGGCCAACTGAGCTATGGTACTCTTCAACAGATAAGGCACTCTGCTTGCACAGATTCAGTATGACTGCTAACAATGCATGCAAGAATAATCTTTCCTGGAAAGTATTAAGGTTAGAAAGAATGGAAAGAACACATTTGAAAAGGCTCTACAAACTATTAACCAAACTGTATTAACACAACAGTTTTTTCCTATCATGATGATTTAAAAAATAATCTTTCCTGGAAAGTATTATGGTTAGAAAGAATGGAAAGAACACCTTTGAAAAGGCTCTACAAACTATTAACCAAACTGTATTAACACAACAGTTTTTTCCTATCATGATGATTTAAAAAATAATCTCTTCTGAACAGGGCATAACCCAGACCTTTGAGTCACTTTAGGGCATCAGAACCAATATTTAATTGATTAACTAGACCATCTTCAACATCAAAAATAAGCAATAACAAAGAACAAATAGAGAAAAAAAGACAAGACTGGGATTTATAAAATAGAATGTGAATGTGGTAGTATTTATATGGGTAAAACTAAGAGTACAGATTACAGGAACATAAAGGGTATAGAAGAATGAATAAAATAGAAAACTTAGCTATAACAGAACACAACACAATTTTATGGGACAAAACTACAATCTTAGCTCAACCTCAATGTTACAGCTTTAAACACATTAAATCAAGATGAAGAGCTATCAAGACACTTAACTGTGAATAATGCCTGAAGATAAAGTAAAAATGTGTCAAAAAATGTAGTACGTAGTGTTTTTTAAGTGGAAACCATTTAATAAACTTTTACCTGTGTAAATATGAAATGTTGCATTTTAATTATTCATTCAATTTAAAATATTACACAAGTGTGATCATTCATACTTAACTCACCTGCCATTCTCAATGGAGCACTGTAATGGAAAACAAAAGACACATTTTGACCGTAAATAAAAATGACAAACTGTAGAATCAGCTCAAAGCATATCAAAGCAGCAAAAGTCTTGCCTTGTATGTTTTAAACTTTATTGGATAATCTAACCCATAATAAAAACCAAAGATACTTTGGGTGGCAAAATTGCATGAGGACTACCAAACAAACACCTAAGGCACAACAATGTGGCATGAAGCCTTTTCCCTGGTGATAAAAGAAAGATTATTAAAGACCCAGACCATTTACACGGGTAAATACTAAGTAGGTCACAACAATGTGACATGAAGCCTTTTCCCTGGTGATAAAAGAAAGATTATTAAAGACCCAGACCATTTACCCGGGTAAATACTAAGTAGGTCACAACAATGCCAGGCTAAAGGATACACACTATCACTACAGAGAAGGATGGGCTTTAATAATAATATACCTTACCCATCACATTTTGGAAGATCAAGATGGATTCCACACACTTTCAGAGCCATGATGATTGTTATACAAAGATTCATGAGCTATTTAGCTACATCAGATGCAGCACCATCATGCCAAAAACAAAATGTACAATATTCAAGAACCTAAGGAACAAGGACAGTATGTAATTTAAATATTACACGTGTGATATTTGTGTGATTTAAGTATTACATGTGTGATATTTGTGTGATTTAAGTATTACACGTGTGATATTTGTGTCATTTAAATATTACACGTGTGATATTTGTGTAATTTAAATATTACATGTGTGATATTTGTGTAATTTAAATATAACACATGTGATATTTGTGTAATTTAAATATTACACGTGTGATATTTGTGTAATTTAAGTATTACACGTGTGATATTTGTGTAATTTAAATATTGCATGTGTAATATTTGTGAATTTTCTAAATAACCTTTCTCTGGTAACTCAAGCCACTACAGGATTTTACAGAAAGGTGAATTAGAGGCTAAGTAACAACATTTATTTTCTTGATGACAACTTTAAATTTTCTCCAACAAAAAATTTAAAAGATATACTTTATATTTAAAATGTTCGAGGAAAACACAAAACCCTTCTTTATTTCTTACATAACCAATATATCAGCCAAGAAACATTTTGGAGACTATTTTCTCTGGTAGCTCCAGGAAATATACACACGGCACAGGTGACATCAAAGGAAGGAACCTACCTTCGTCAAACTAACAACTACAGGCCCGAGAAGATCACTCAATAAATGTGGAAAACAAAGCACTACATATTGAAGAATCAACCCAACCACTGGAAACATTCTCTAATCGATTATTGGTCTCCTTACTTCTGTAAACAATTAGAGTACAGGAAACTCAAAAAAAAGGTGAAAGCATGTCTTTTTATGATCATAAGTTTCACAAAAAAACATAGTTTGCACAATTAACTTTTATATCAAACTAAAGGACACAAAAATAATAACAGAAAACAAAACACTTTCAAACAACTAACAATTACCTAAAGGACACAAAACAAAAATAATAACAGTAATACACAATATTTGTCTGATTCACTTATCATCCAGTAATACACAGTACTTGTTTGATTCATTTATCATCCAGCAATACACAATCCTTGTCTGATTCATTTATCATCCAGTAGTACACAATACTTGTCTGATTCACTGCAGGATGATAAATGAATCAGACAAGTATTGTGTACTACTGGATGATAAATGAATCAGACAAGTATTGTGTACTGCTGGATGATAAGTGAATCAGACAAGTATTGTGTTCTACTGGATGATAAGTGAATCAGACAATTATTGTGTTCTACTGGATGATAAGTGAATCAGACAAGTATTGTGTATTACTGGATGATAAATGAATCAGACAAGTATTGTGTATTACTGGATGATAAGTGAATCAGACAAGTATTGTGTACTACTGGATGATAAGTGAATCAGACAAGTATTGTGTTCTACTGGATGATAAGTACACAATACTTGTCTGATTAATTTATCATCCAGTAGTACACAATACTTGTCTGATTAATTTATCATCCAGTAGTACACAATACTTGTCTGATTTATTTATCATCCAGCAGTACACAATACTTGTCTGATTCACTTATCATCCAGTAGAACACAATACTTGTCTGATTCACTTATCATCCAGTAGTACACAATACTTGTCTGATTCACTTATCATCCAGTAGTACACAATACTTGTCTGATTCACTTATCATCCAGTAGTACACAATACTTGTCTGATTAATTTATCATCCAGTAGTACACAATACTTGTCTGATTAATTTATCATCCAGTAGTACACAATACTTGTCTGATTAATTTATCATCCAGTAGTACACAATACTTGTCTGAATTATTTATCATCCAGTAGTACACAATACTTGTCTGATTCACTTATCATCCAGTAGTACACAATACTTGTCTGATTTATTTATCATCCAGTAGTACACAATACTTGTCTGATTCACTTATCATCCAGAAATACACTATAATTGTCTGGTTCATGACTTTCAAAACAAGCTCCAACAGGCACAGTGAGGAAAAAGATACTGTTGTCAGAAGATCAAATGAACCAGTTTAACAAGACACTGTTAATAGTAAGGTATTGATATAAATTAATCAAATGACCAAGTTCTATCCACAGAAGAAAGAAAGAAACAAAAAAAAACAGTCCACCCTATGTCATTACCTTAAACAAAACAAGGCAGATGGAGACTGTGTGGATATCTAAGTTTTATCTGCAAATGGTTCCAAATATTTCCAGAGATTGGTGTAGATTCCCAACATCACTGCTGGAGTACATTCAATGAGTCTTTACACAGAGTGGTACAGATGTTCAACATCACTGCTGAATATTATTTAAAGAGTCCTTACTTATAGTGGTATAGATGTCAGACATCACTGCTGAAGTATATTCAGAGTCCTTACTTGTAGTGGTATAGATGTCAGACATAACTGCTGAAGTATATTCAGAGTCCTTACTTGTAGTGGTATAGATGTCAGACATCACTGCTGAAGTATATTTAAAGAGTCCTTACTTGTCGTGGTATAGATGTCAGACATCACTGCTGAAGTATATTTAAAGAGTCCTTACATAAAGTGGTATAGATGTCAGACATCACTGCTGAAGTATATTCAGAGTCCTTACTTGTAGTGGTATAGATGTCAGACATTACTGCTGAAGTATATTTAAAGAGTC